GTGTTAGGGTGGTGAACATCAACTAGGTAGGTGAACAAGAGCTGTGGGTGGTGAACAGGAGCTGAGGGTGCTGATGAACAGCTAGGATGGTGAACAAGAGTTGAGGGTGGTAAACAACAACTAGGTAGGTGAGCAAAAGCTTAAGGTGGATAACAATTGTAGGTGTTACACAAGTATTGTAGTGGCACCCAAGACCTGGGTGTGTTGAACAAGTTAATTGTTAATGAACAACATCTAGGGTAACTAAGAGTTAAACAAAAACAGAGGGTGGTAAACAACAACTAGGTAGGTGAACAAGAGTTTAGGGTGGCAAAAAGAATTGTCGGTGGTAAACTAGAGTTGAGGGAGGCTAACAAGAACCGAGGGTAGGTGAACAAGAGCTGAATGCAGTAAACAAGATTTGGGGTGGTAAACAGGAGCTGGGTTAATGAACATCAACTAGGGTGGTAACCAAGAGTTGAGAGTGGTAAACAAGTATTGTGAGTGGTAAACAAGTATTGAGGGTGGTGAACAACAGCTGGGGTGGGAAACAACAGCTAGGTTAATGAAAAACAACTAGGGTGGTAACAAAGAGTTGTGGGTGGTAAACAAGAACTAAAGGTGGTATACAAGAACTGATGGCGGTGAACAACAGCTAGGGTGGTGAACAAGAGCTGAGGGTGGTAACCAAGAACACAGGGTTATTATCACCCGTACACATTACTTACCACCCGTCAGTATGGTTTATTACCATAAGCCTTATTATCACCCGTACACATTACATACCACCCGTCAGTATTGTGTATTATCGTACGCCTTATTACCATCCTTACACATTACTGACCATCCGTCAGTATGGTTTATTATCGTACGCCTTATTACCATCCGTCAGTATTGTGTATTATCGTACGCCTTATTATCAACCGTACACATTACTTACCACCCGTCAGTATTGTGTATTATCGTACGCCTTATTACAACCCTTACGCATTACTTACCACCCGTCAGTATGGTTTATTATAGTACGCCTTATTATCACCCGTACACATTACTTACCGCCCGTCAGTATTGTGTATTATCGTACACCTTATTACAACCCTTACGCATTACTTACCACCCGTCAGTATGGTTTATTATAGTACGCCTTATTATCACCCGTACACATTACTTACCGCCCGTCAGTATTGTGTATTATCGTACGCCTTATTACCACCCTTACGCATTACTTACCACCCATCAGTATGGTTTATTATAGTACGCCTTATTATCACCTGTACACATTACTTACCACCCGTCAGTATTGTGTATTATCGTACGCCTTATTACCACCCTTACACATTACTTACCACCCGTCAATATTGTGTACTACTGTACGCCTAATTACCCCCCTTACACATTACTTACCACCAGTCAGTATTGTGTATTACCGTACGCCTTATTACTACCCGTACACATTACTTACCACCCACAGTATCGTACGCCTTATTATACCTTTAAACCTTATTACTTCGAATACATATTTCCACCCACTCCAATGCAGTGTATTTACCACCCACATACATTACTTACACATTCGCGATGGCTCCAACCATCTTTGGATTTTTCGACTCGATTTCCCCTCGTCGGTGTTTGGGATCGGAAGGGCTTACTTGGAAAATGCGTCTAGGATAAATGTAACACAATTTAGACACGCGCCTGCTATGTCTTATTTTTTACTATTTACACATCTTCATCAACCTTTTTTTTTACTTACGTAAAGATCCCTCGACAGTTGGAAATCGAAAATAAGAGTAGGCTAATGTCGCTGTCCTGACAAAATTTCCCTCATTGCACACTGCATGGCGCTTGCCCATCCTCAGTAGCCCATACAGGTGCAGAAAAGTAGGACGTAAAATTTTATTTTATTTCATTTTTTTTCTACGGATTTCTTATACAAACGTATGATACTAAATTTCATAGCAACACTAACAGGGCCTTTTGGGATGTATGCTAATTTGGTGTAAACAAAATAGCAGAATTTCGACTTTCGTTTCATTGCAAGAAATTCAATTTATATTAACACGGTCTTGTCTGAACCTGACAAAATCCATTACAAAGTACTCAGAGTCGACTAATATGTCACTGAAAGAAACAATTATATCAAAAAGGCTGACATTTCATGAATTTTTAGAGATTTTTCTGCCACCCGGATGGCGAATAGTCAAATTAATGGACGTGGACTATTCGCCACCCGGGTGGCGAATATCCACGGCCGTTAATATATAGTAAACTAATCAAAAAAAACAAAAGGTTGAAAGGTTATGATTCATTACGAAGGTACGACTGGAGAAACAGATGGCGAACCTGTCCCGTGTAGACGTCGAGATACAAATATTATTGTAATGATTGAGTACAAATCATAATCTATCAGAATGCAGTAGACATGTTTTTTTACAGGAAGTAGTTTACAGGGAACACAACTAAAAGTACTCTCTTTGACTGAAGAGGTAAACATGGGAAACAACTCATGTTTGCATGTTGGCTACGTTCAAAAATTATCTTATACAAGACTGTTGCAAAGAGAGAAGTGTTCAACCTAGATTGTCATCAGGGAAATATCTAGTTCTCAATTAAAACATACACAAAATTTAAAACTGTTCACAGCGGATTTGATTTCCGGTTTAGCTTTATGTTGGGTTTCAACTTTGAGTTTTCTTCCTTTTGTGTCTCAAAGAAAGCTTCTGAAATAATCTGGATTTTATTGGAAACACTTTCATCGAGTTGTTGAAATCAGCTTTCATCTGTTTAAAGGGACATTCCGCTTTTTAGTAGGTAATTTTTTTTTTTTTGAAAACTATCCATCAAATGTGCTTTCTAAACGCCTATTGTAGAGAAATGATATATTATGTCGCCTAGTATTCCAAGGGTTTCAACTAATAATATCGAGCCATTATAAATCGAAATTAGACCAAACTGCTTAATAATTAGTACTCTCCGTTTTTAATTAACCCTTTTAAAATAAATTCAGTTTGATCAAGAAGATACATTAAGATAAAAAGCATACTTTAGAAATATTTTCAGGTATAATTTACGACGTTTTTGATGATGAAAATCTTTTACAAAAAGCGGAATACCCCTTTAGGTGGGTTTCATCTGTAACACAACTATTATATAAGAAATCAAGGTACCAGCTATCTGAAAAGAATAAGCGTTTACGTAAAATATAAATCTTCTTTTTTAAAATTCGTTATAGGGTTTGTTTATTTTGAATTTTTAAATGTTACGTTTTCGTCTTTGAGCCAAGAACGTAGCTGCAGGGGATTGCCTCCTGAAAAAATTCTGACAACTGACAAATTCAATTACTGCAAGCAAACACCATACACCATTATCTCTCCAGATATATTAATTGCCCCTCCAAACAATCACGTCTGGCTACGGGTCTGCATTGAGCTGATAAACTGATATCCCTGCACGGTTTTTCATATCCTGTTCTAGCTCTTCTTTTCACCATTTCAGTAACGTAGATCAATATTTTTTACAATACTGGGAGAGGAGGTTTCATAGGCGTAAGCCTGTTCTCCAATCCTTTTCTTTGGAATAAAATATTGTTTATAAAAAAAAAACTTTTTATTTTTATATTTATTAATGTACATTTTTTGTTATTATCTCATTGTTCGTAGTAACTTACTTACAGTTAACATAGCTGTTTTGTCCACAATAAATAATTTGAGAAAACTCAGTCCCGTATCTGTATTCTTCATATTCTCTAAAAACAATGTAAACTGAAAGTACAATAAATAGAAGACGGTAAATATGTAATCATATGTAAACGGTATTTGTTTAGCTAAGCTAATCAGTAACAGTGTTAACAGCTCAACGTCAAAATTGAAGCCTTGAAAACCATGTGATTACATAATTATCCGCGTTTGAAAGTTAAAATGACTAATTTTAAATGTCTAATTTCTATGATTTGCCGAATATATATAGCCCTATATTTAGAAAAAAAGGAATTATGCGATGTTAGTGATCTATTAGTTCTGAAAATAGTCACGAAAATTTTCACGTTAGTCCGGGTCCACTGATGACCTAAGAAAGCATCTCATAGGCAAAGTCAGCATAGTCATAATCGAACACGTATATGAAAAAACTAGCAAATATTATCTACTAGGTGGTTTCAAACACCCTATTTGAGAATAAAAAACTTACTGCACTCATAGTTTCAGTATTTAATTTATTCATATTGAACCGTTTACTTGTCTCTAAACAACATTTGCTCTACAAAAAAGGAAGAAATAATTAAAGTATCACGGCATAAAGCACGACTCGTATACAGTGCGGTGCCAGCCTCCTGAGAGATAGAATTGTTGAGTATTTAAGTTAGTGTAGGTTCAAAAACTAAACTCTGATTGATGGTAAGCTGGTATAGGATCATAATCTAACAACTGATTGATGGTAAGTTAGTGTAGGTTCAAAAACTAAACACTGATTGATGGTAAGCTGGTGTAGGGTAAAAAACTAACCATTGAGTGATGGTAAGTTAGTGTAGGGTAAAAAACTAACAAATGATTGATGGTAAATAGTTTAGGGTCAAAAACTAACAAATGATTGATGGTAAGTTAGTGTAGGGTCAAAAACTATCAAATGATTGATGGTTAGTAAGTGTAGGGTCAAAAACTAACAACCGATTTATGGTAAGTTAATGTATGGTCAAAAACTAACAAACGATTGATGGTAAGTTAATGTATGGTCAAAAACTAACAACCGATTGATGGTAAGTTAATGTAGTGTCAAAAACTAACAAACGATTGATCGTAAGTTAATGTAGGGTCAAAAACTAACAACCAATTGATGGTAAGTTAATGTAGAGTCAAAATCTAACAACCGATTGATGGCAAGTTAATGTAGGGTCAAAAACTATCAACCGAATGATGGTAAATTAATGTAGAGTCAAAAACTAACAACTGATTGATGTTTAGTTAATGTAGAGTCAAAAACTATCAAACGATTGATGGTAAATTAATGTAGGGTGAAAAACTAACAAACGATTGATGGTAAATTAATGTAGAGTCAAAAACTAACAACCGATTGATGGTAAGTTAATGTATGGTCAAAAACTAACAACCGATTGATGGTAAGTTAGTGTAGGGTCAAAAACTAACAACCGATTGATGGTAAGTTAATGTAGAGTCAAAAACTATCAAACGATTGATGGTAAGTTAGTGTAGGGTCAAAAACTATCAACCGATTGATGGTAAGTTAGTGTAGGGTCAAAAACTAACAACCGATTGATGGTAAGTTAATGTAGAGTCAAAAACTATCAAACGATTGATGGTAAGTTAGTGTATGGTCAAAAACTATCAACCGATTGATGGTAAGTTAGTGTAGGGTCAAAAACTAACAACCGATTGATGGTAAGTTAATGTAGAGTCAAAAACTATCAAACGATTGATGGTAAGTTAGTGTATGGTCAAAAACTATCAACCGATTGATGGTAAGTAAGTGTAGGGTAGGGTCAAAAACTAACAACCGATTGATGGTAAGTTAATGTAGAGTCAAAAACTATCAAACGATTGATGGTAAGTTAGTGTAGGGTCAATAACTAACAACCGACTGATGGTAAGGTAAACAGCAACTTATATTTTCCCATTAAAACTTGTTTTGACACGAGTTTTGAAATATGTTAATCCTAATAAACCAAATGTTTACCTTTGACTCTATTAGACTACCATTGACAAGGATTAGTATCAATTCGAACGTTGCTATTCCAATAATTCCACCATAGGCAACTACTTCAGTGTGAGACAAGAAACCATACAATAAAGCATGTATATCAAGGCAAATAGTAGTAAGACCGCTCACTATATATCCCGAGACGAACGGCAGAAAGGCATCATCAATTTCTGTAACAAAACCGCAAATATCGAAGTATCGTTTCCTTACTATTTCTAATCTACCCACGGTGACGGCGGTAGAAAGAAGTTTCTCAAATTCCATATTTAGCCGTGTAAATTCTTTCATGATGATGTT